CTCTGCTATCGAACATTGGAATTTATTCCTTCTATCTAACTGTATGTTTGTACCCATTAGTCAGTCTGTTTGCCTTGCTACCCACACCCTGACACCCTTTCCAGCCTCTGGTAACTATCATAACTATCATTCTACTCTCTACCTCCATGAGATTACCTTTTTAATTTTTATTTTTAAATTTTTTATAATTTTTTTTTTAAATAAGAGATCTCACTGTGTTGCCCAGACTGGTCTCGAACTCCTGAGCTCAAGCAATCCTCTCACCTTGGCCTTCCAAACTGCTAGGATTACAGGCATGAGCTACCATGCCTAGCCGAGATTAATGTTTTTAGCTCCCACGTATGAGTGAGAACATGCGATATTTGTCTTTCTGTGTCTAGCTTATTTCACTTAACATAATGACCTCCAGTTCCATTCATGTTGCTACAAATGACAGGATTTCATTCTTTTTTATGGCCAAGTAGTATTCTATTGTATATATATAGCACATTTTCTTTATTCATTTGTTGATGGACACCTAGGTTGATTCCATATCTTCGCTATTGTGAATAGTGTTGTAATTAAGTTTTTAATTTTGATGAAGTTCTGTTTGTTTGTTTATTTATTTATTTATGCTTGTGTTTTTTCCATCTAAGAATCCATTGCCAAATCTAAGGTCATGAAGACTTATGGTTTTTTTTTTTTATTTTTTTGAGACAGGGTCTTGCTCTGTTTTCTAGGTTGGAGTGCAGTGACATGATCTCAGCTCATTGAAGCCTCAACTTCCTGGGTCCGAGCCCTCCTTTCCACTTTAGCCTCTCAAGTAGCGGGGACCATAGGTGCACCTTACCACACCTTGCTAATTTTATTTTTTTGCAGAGATAAAGTTTCACTATGTTGCCCAGGCTATGAAGATTTATCCTTATGTTTTCTTCTAGAGCTTTATGGTTTTTAGCTCATATATTTAAGTAATTGATCCTTTTAGAATTTATTTTTATATATGATATGAGGTATGGGATCCAAATTTATTCTTTTGCCTGTGTATATCTAATTGTCTCAGCATCATTTAATGAAAAGATGAATCTTTTCTATTTAATGGTCATGGCACCATTGTCAAAAATAAATTGACCATCTATTTATGAGTTTATTTCTGGATTATCAGTTCCTTTCTGTGGATCTATATGGATCTATATGTCTATCTTTATGCTGGTACACTGTAGTTTTTTTTTTTTTTTTTTAAAGACAGGGTCTGGCTCTGTCCTCTGTCACCCAGGCTGGAGTGCAGTGGCTCAATCTTTGCTCACTGCAATCTCCGCCTCTAAGACTGAAGCCATTCTCTCACCTTGGCCTTCCTCATAGCTGGGATTGCAGGTACCCACCACCACACTTGGCTAATTTTTGTTTTGATAGAGACAGGGTTTCACCGTGTTGCCCAGGCTGGTCTTGAACTCCTGGGCTCAAGCTATCCACCTGCCTCGGCCTCCCAAAGTGCTGGGATTTCAGGCATGAGCCACCTTGCTTGGCTAATCACTTTAGCTTTGTAGTGAGTTTTCCAATTGTGACATATGTCTTCCATCTTTATCCTTCTTTTCAAGACTGTCATGTTAATGTTTTAAGTCTTTAGCAAAGAAAATTCTTTTGCTTTAATCATGTGTTTCTCACATGCTTGTGATGATGAAATTGCTTTTTTATATAATAGCTAACAATATCCTGTGGGACTGGTATTCTGTGGAAACAATTTTTGAGAAGGGTGGGAAAAAGTGACTATGTGGGGAATATTTTCTTTGCTTTATCTTACTACTTCAACAATATAGGTAGGAATAGATTGAGTTAAAGTTACCCTTCCCATTTACTTTTTCTGTTTAGTCATGAAAGACTTAATTCCTTCTAATGTTTTTTTGTTGTTGTTGTCATTGTCAAAATATATACATATATTTTTTTTAGACAGGGTCTCATTCCTGTTGCCTAGGTTGGAGTGCAGTGGCACAATGACAGCTCACTATAGCCTTGAGTTCTTGGGCTGAGGTGATCCCACCTCAGCCTCCCAAGTAGCTGGGACTACAGGTGTGTGCCACCATGCCTGGCTAATTTTTTTTTTTTTTTTTTTTTTTTTTTGTAGAGAAGGGGCTTCACCATGTTGCCCAGGCTGGCCTTGAACTCCTGGGCTCAAGTGATTTGCCCAAGTCAGCCTTCCAAATCACTGGGATTACAAGTATGAGCCACTGTGCCCAGCCTAATTTTGTTAATTGGTAAATAATGATATCATTGCCATACTTCCCCCTTAACCTTAATAACTTTGCTTTTGTTGTTTAAAAATTTCACACATACATGAAAATAGGAAGAATATTACAATGAACTCCCATGTGCCTATTATTTAGCTTCAACAGTTATCAGCTTATGGCCAGACTTATTTTATGAACACCAACCCCCACCCCAACCCCCAGCTTGATTATTTTAAGCCATATCTAGACATTATATAGTTTTATCCCTGACCACTTCAGTATGTATTTTTAAACGATAAGGGTTTATTTTATTTATTAATTAAAAAATTATTTAGTTAATTCTTTTGTAGAGATGGGGTCTTTTTCTGTTGCCCAGGCGTTCTCTGTTGCCCTGGCCTCAAGCAATCCTCTTGCCTTAGCTTCTCAAAGTGTTGGGATTATAGATGTGAGCCACTGTGCCTGGCCCAAAGATAGGGATTTAAAAAAACACTAATCATTATCACACCTAAGAAAGTAATAATTTCTTAGTTACTTCAAATACCCAAAAGTCCTCATTTCTTGGTTTTCAGAGTGTTTTGAATCTTCAGACAAAACTGCGAATGTTTACTAGTTCAGCTTTCAGTGGAATGCCTGTAATTTTTAAATACTCTAGTAGTATAAATTATGAATGTCAGATTTAACTCGAAGTATTATTTTATCCTTTGGATTTAAATTATCTTTAGACCCAAAAGGAGCATATTTGGATTTACTGTTTTCTGTAAACGAAAACCTATTTTCTAGTGTAATAACTCATTAAGAAATATTTTTGATGGGGTTGTAGAATCTAAATAAAGCGAATAGTTCAATGTAAAAGAATATTTTTTGAATTTCATGTTTGCAAAACACAAAATGATCATATCCCCAAGCAGGATTACATCGTGGCTGTGAAGGCCATCAGAACTAAGTCCATCTACAAAGGCCTCTAGAGAAGAGGGATGTTTGTGTTTGTGCTCTGCACTATGATAGTCATTATGGGAATGATTTGCCCTGAAAGAAGTATAGTCATTTCTTCGTTATTCACAGACTGCTTGATTAGTTTGTGAATTATTCAGTTTTTATTTGTGCTTCTTTTCATTGTGATCCTACCATCTTTTTCTGTAAACAAAAAGAAATGGTGAGAGAGAAGGAAAATCAGATTAATCAAGTTGAACGTTTAAAAAAACTTGGCTTAGGCTAAGTGGTTTAGTAAATATAATGAGTATTAATTTTTTCCCCCAAACTTTATCTAGGAAGGGAAATCAAATTAGTAATGCCTTTCTCTGTCACTAATGGACTACCCCATGGACAGACAGGACTCTAGGCATGGCTTTCTTTGCTACTGTTATCTTGAGACATGCTGGGTGTTCCCATAGCTCTCTTTTTTCTGCTCCCAAGAGATTCTTGGTCATGGCCAATTCCCTCTTTGGGACTAGTAATCCGGTGCTTCCCAGGGTTGCATTTTCTTAACAAAAATTGTATTAAAAAAAAAAAAGATCTACTTCTGGCCAGAAACTGACTCATGCCTGAAAAACTGATAAATTAGACTTCATCTTAATGAAAACTTTTGCTTTGCAAGTGATACTGTTAAGACAATGAAAAGACAGGCTGTAGACTGGGAGAAAATATTTACAAATGATATATCTGACAAAAGACTCATTTCCAGATTATATAATGAACTTTTAAAGCTCAGTAATATGAAAATAAACAGCCCAATTAAAAATGGTGAAAATATTTGAACATACACTTAATCAAAGAAGATATACAGATGGCAAATAGGTACATGAAAAGATGCTCAACGTCGTTAGTCATTGGGGAAATGCGAATTAAAACTAAAATGAGATACCACTACATGCCTATTTGAATGTTTACAGAATCTCAAGAAACCCAAAACAAAAAATGACCATGCCAAGTGTTGGTAAGGCCGTGGAACAATGGAAAATTTAATACATTTCTGTTGGGAATGTAAATTGGCACCATCACATTGGAAAACAGTGTGGCAGTTTCTTAAAATATTCAGTATGCACCTACTATTTGACCCATTCATTTCATTATTTACTGTTTACCTCACAGAAATGAAAGTGTGCCTCTACAATGTCTTGCACGCAAATGCTTATAGCAGCTTTATTTGTAATTGCCTAAACTGGAAACAACTCAAATATCCATCAGTAGGTGAACAGTTAAACGAATTGTGGTCTATTAACAAAGTGGAACACTATTTGACAATGAAAATGAACGAACTATTGATGCATGCAACCACATGGATGAATCTCAAAATAATTATGTAGGTGAAAAGAAGCCTGGCAATAAAAAGCACAATATATGATTCAATTTATATAAAACTCCAGAAAATACACACTGCTCTATAGTGACAAAAAGCAGGTTAGTGGTTGCTTGGGTATGTGGTGGGGTGGTGAGGGCTGGAGGAAGGCATTACCAAGAGACATAAGAAATCTTTTAAGAGTGATGAAAATGTTTCCTATATTGATTGTGGCAGTGATTTAATGGGTATGTACGTGTGTGTGTGTGTAAAAATTTATCAAAAAGTATATTTTCACTACGTGTAGGTTATTATATATAAATTATACCTCAATAAGGTGTAAAGAAAATAAAACAAGCTCTGGAGCATTCTTCCTGAGCATGAATTTTACATTCCATTCTTCCAAAGGAAAAAAAAATGAGGCTGCAGGTACACTAATCTAAAGTGTTAAGTACAATTCTGGACTGTAGTGATTCATATCTTTATATATACCAATGTTTGTGAATTTAAACTTTTGTTTTCAGGCAACTACTCTGAGAGTGAGGAAATTAGAAGAAAACATTGAAGCAGAAAGAGCAGCACATTTGGAATCAAAATTTAATTCTGAAATTATTCAGGTAAAATGTAAACAAATATTTTGGCCTGGATTTTCTTAATTTATGTTATAATAGCTGGGAAAAACAGCACTATGTTGAGAGAACGAAGGTGTGCATTGAGAATGGGTAACATATTGTTATGACGCTCATTATTGTATTTAAGGTTAGGATACAGTTGGGATATGCTGCCTAGTGGAGGAGTTGGCACACTCCAGCCTACAGACCAAGCCTCACCAACTGTCTTTTCTTGTGAAGTTTTGTCTTGTCCATAGCTGCTTTTGTGCTACAGTGGCAGAGTGGAGTAGTTGTTAACAGACAACTTATCTGGCAGTCTAAAAGAAATTTACGATTAGAGTGTTCTTTTTACCAACAGCCATGAGATGAATTTCTTTTTGAGAACTTTGAAAAAATGTGCACCTTATTTATTAAGTGCATATCCTATGCATATCACTGTATTAAGAGCTGAAGGTGTAAAGATGAATGAACTCCTTTTGTTAACTTACATTTGATTATCAGAGATACTATATATCTATCTGCAGGCATATGGATACTTAGATAGATGTATAAAATACTGAAATACAATGGGAACATAATAAAGAAAAGGATTAAATCTGGGAGGGGAATTAAATGGAGGCCTGGTAAGGAAACTATCCCTTCGTTATGTCTTAGAGAATGAGAAGGAATTTCGAAGAGAAGTGAGAGCAGAGTTTTTACTAGGGGTTGGCACACTACTGCCCATGGACCAAGTCTGACCTACAGCCTTCTTCTGTAAATAAATTTTTATTAGAAGATAGTCATGCCCATGTGTTTACATATTGTTTATGGTTGCTTGTTGAGACAGACCTTATGGTCCACAGAATTTAAAAGAGTTACTCTGTGGCCCTTTACAGAAAATGTTTACTGACCACTGTTCTAAACAAAGAACTGCTTGAATAAAGCCACTAAATAAGAATGTGCTTGTTTCTTTTTGAGGAATACTTGTAGTGCTAGGGAAAAGTTTGGAGACAATGATGGAAGGCATGATGAAGACTAATTATGAAAGGCCTTTTTCATGCTAAGAAACTTAAGACGTATTTTGAAAGCAATGGAAAGCCGCTGTAGCTTTTGAGAGACAGATACCAAATCTAAGTTTAAGAAAATAACTCTGGTACCATGTTGGTGGGTAAGGGAAGGGATTGAGGATAGGAGGACGGGTGAAGAGATGGTGAATGCCAGAATCAAGGCAACAACTGTGGCAATGGAAAAGAGGGCTCCTGTGGTCAGAATAACAGCCCCTCAAAGATGTCCACATCCATCCTTATCCTCAGACCCTGTGAATGTTACCTTATATGGCAAATGGGACTTGGAGATGTGACTTATTTGAGGATCTTGAGATGGGAGTTTGTCCCAGTTTATCTGGTTGAGCCTGATGTAATTGTAAGAGTCCTTATAGGAGGGAGGCAGGAGGGTCACAGTCAGAGACAGAGATGTGATGACAGAAGCGGAGGTCAGAGTAGGCCACCATGAGCCCAGGAATGTGGGTGACCCCTAGAAGTTGGAAAAGGCAAGACAAGAATTCTTCCCTAGCATCACCAGAAGGAATGGAGCCTTGCTGACCCTGTGATTTTAGCCCTAGAAAACCCATTTCAGACTTCTGACGTCCACAACTGTAAGATAATACATTTATATTGTTTTAAGTTGCTAGTTTGTGAAAATTGGTAATAGCAGTGATTGGAAAGATACAGGGGACACAGTGAAAAGCATGATTATAGGTACCTAACTTGCAGTATGAGAGGAGGGAAAGAGCAATAGAAGAGAACACCAAGGTTTGCAATGCGTGAAAGTGGGCAGATGCAGTTGACTGCCAAACTCTGAAGTCTGAAGAGAGACAATAGTAAGTTTTGAACATGTTGACTTTGAGGAGCAGTTTAGAGGTTCATAGTGCTCTTTGAGAATATGGTCATGCAAAGTCACCTGAACAATGTATGTTTACTCTTGTCAACCTGCTATGTGTGAACAGTTCCTTTCCTTCTATTCTCTCAAGCAACTGCCTTTAGCTTATCTCGGATCAGCCAGTTTCTCAGGCATTAGGACAGTTAAGGAAATTACGAAGGAGGAGATTTGTTGGACCTCCTACTTTTTTGAATATAATATTTTATAGACAATTATGACTTTTTGGTTAACTGCTTTCTCAGCATTTTGACAATATGCTTTAAAATCTAATAAATATGGTATTTGTTATGCATCTGTTAAAGAGATTAATTTTAATGAAAATTACCTATGATAGTATTTTTGTTTGTTTAAATCTGAGAAGGTAGAAAGTATCTTTATGAACTTAGATTCTCATATTAACTGTTAAGATGTTCTTATTTCATGCTATTTTTTTTTTAAGATGGAGTTTCACCATGTTGGTCAGGCTGGTCTTGAACTCCCGACCTCAGGTGATCCGCCTGCCCTGGCCTCCAAAGTGCTTGGATTACAGGCATGAGCCACCACACCCGGCTGCTATTTCATGCTATTTAGCTGGTTAGTTACTATGTTTGAACATTGCTTTGTGACAAATGTAATAGACTGTATGAAAATAAAATATATGCACTTATTTCCAGAAGAAAAAGTAGTTTTAAGCTTATTTGGCTTTAGCAAGTTTGAAAATCCTCTCACTTTATTTGTGCTCTTGAATTTCATATCAGGTGGAAGTTGGGATTGCCAAAATCAGTAACTGAAAAGTAGCTATAAGCAGACAGATTAAAATGAATTTACACTAAAAAAAGTTACTGCTTTGATTTAGATGTTTGCCTTAGGTGTTCATTATCTCTTCACCCAACTTCCTATCACCACTCCCTTACTTTGCCAATGTTAGTTATCAGATTTATTTTTCTAAAACTTAGATTTGATATTTACATCAAAAGCTACTTGTATTAAAAGCTACTGCTTTAAACATGTCTAAATTACTTAATTTAATTTACATTTTAAAAGACTTAGACTTCTATCTTGTTTTAATTAAAACAATTTATAGCATTTTACCTTATTGTTTAAATAACTCCTTAATGCAAGATGCAACTATATTTGTTGCATCTTGATGCAACACTCCCTTCCTTTATATAAAAGATTTTATATTAAAAATTTATGTTTTTACTTTTGACTTTAATGAAATATCATTTTTATCTAAAATTCTCAGATCCCTATATTTAAGCATATCTGTTTGTTAAAGCAAACTTGTGTAAGTTTTTTTTTTAAAGATCAGGTCACCAAAATGGCATCAATGAATAATAAGGCTGAAGTTTTCTTTTTCTTTTCTTTTCATTGTTTCCTTTTATGATTTCAACTTTTATTTTAGATTCGGGGGTACACATGTAGTTTGTCATCTGGGTATACTGCCTGATGCTGAGGTTTTGGGCATGACTGATTTCGTCACCTAGGAGGTCAGCATAGTACCCAATCATTAATTTTTCAACTCTTGCGCCTTTCTCACCCTCCTCCCTCTAGTAGTCCCCAGTGTGTATTGCTGCCATCTTTATGTCTATGAGTATCCAGTGTTTAGCCTCTACTTATAAGTGAGAACATGTAGTATTTGGCTTTCTATTCCTGTGTTAATTTGCTTAGGATAAGGGCCTCCAGCTGTATCCATGTTGCTGAGCAGGACATGATTTTGTTCTTTTTTATAGCTGCATAGTAATCTGTGGTATATATGTACCACATTTTCTTTATCCAATCCATCATTGATTGATGAGCACCTGTGTTGATTCCATATCTTTGCTATTATGAATAGTGCTGTGATGAACGTGAAAGTGCATGTGTTTTTTTGGTAGAATGATTTATTTTCTTTTGGATATATATCCAGTAATAGGATTGCTGGGTCAAATGATAGTTCTAAGTTTTTTGAGAAATCTGCGCTCCACTTTCCACAGTGGCTGAGCTAATTTACGTTCCCACCAGCAGTATATAAACCTTCCTTTGGCTGAAGTTTTAAATTCATGAAAAATAATGTAATTTCAAAATTAGGTTTTCCATTGTAGTTGTGATATATCACCGGGAATATATAGTTAATTGCTATAAAAATGTAAATTATTACCCAGTTTTTACTTATATAGTTTAAAATTAATATTTGATATCTCAGTGCTATGACTTAGAAAAAATGGAAAGTTTATATTTGAATCATAAATCTATAAATATTTAAAAGTATTTTCAATGAGGTACATCTAATGCCATTCAGTTTCAGAGTAGTTTAATGCAAAGTAAATTACTAAGTAGCTATAACTAATCATCATCTTATGAAATACTGTTAAATATGTATTTGAAATCTGTTATTAAGTTTGTTTGTATGCTTTGGTATAAAAATGAGAAACCAGACTTAAAATTAAAAGGGCTGACTCAAATTTGTTATTTTGTAGTTTATTTTTCTTTCAATTGGATTGGTTTATCATTTGTGATTGAGTGTATTTCTTTTCTGAAAAAAGATAGTGATGTAGACAAGAAGAAAATATTTCCCAGATTTACTATTTGACTTATAAACATTGGGTTTAGACAAAATAACAAAGAAAAATAGAGTTTAAGAGATATAATTTGAAAATTTAAATCAAGTTGCATCTACGTATTTTCCTTCCTTACTTTAGTGTAAGAATAAACATTTTATGCCAGGTGCAGTGGCTCACACCTGTAATCTCAGCACTTTGGGAGGCTGAGGTGGGTAGATCACTGGAGGCCAGAAGTTGAGGACCAGTCTGGCCAACGTGACGAAACCCCGTCTCTGCTAAAAATACAAAAATTAGCTGGGCGTGGCGGCACACACCTGTAGTCCCAGCTACTCCGGAGGTTGAGGCATGAAAATTGCTTGAGCCTGGGAGGTGGAGGTTGCAGTGAGCAGAGATCGTGCCACTGTACTCCAGCCTGGGTGACAGAGTGAGACTCTGTCCCCACCCCCCAAAAAAGAATGAATATTTCAAGTATTTCAGAATATTTTTGGATAATCAGAAATAATTCTGGTAATTATCATTTATATGATTAATTTTGAAACACTTTCATAGTATCTTAGGCTTTGTTTCCTGGTGAGTTTATCTTTCCTAACTCAGGTTGTCTGTTGCCATTCCTGTGAGGCTTGCCTCACACAGAGTTCCACAGCTTTTCTCCGAATTCAGGACCCCTGTGCATTCCTCTGTCACAGGAAGGATATACCATATCGTGTTGCAGACTATGCTCTCTTAAAGCCTATAAATTCCTCAAGAGCTAAGACTGTGTAGTTTCATGATTATTGTATATATCTTGAGCATTAGGATATTGAGTGACACATATTACATACTTAATAAATATTGATTAAATAAACATTATCTCATTAGATCCTTGTAGCAACCCCACAAAGTGGTCTAGATGACATTATTATTATTCACTATTTATAGATGAGAAGCCCCAAGTATTTGAAGTTTTAGTAACATGCCCAAAGTTGCATTTGTTAATTTTGTAATTCTGGGATTTAGCCTGAGTTTTGTTGGTTTGTTTGTTTTATTCTACTATCTGTCATGTTTAGACAGAGTCAGACCCAAGTTTTATGGTTCTAAAGCCCATTTTCTATTGAATGTGAAACAGTTTTTTCTATCCCCACCCCCTCTTTAAACTATTTTCTAAAAAGAAACTATTTTTCTTTTAAACTTTATTTCCTGAAAAGGTAAACTATCCAGAGTTCAAAAATTAAAACAATATTAAAAGATTGAGAGTTTTTGCCTTCATTCTTGTCCTTCTCATTCCTCTACCCCCTGCCTGCTTATTTTCATTCTTTTCACTTATTTACCCCAAATGTAACATACTATATACACTGATATGGAATCTGCTATTTTCAACATATATTAGTAATACATTGTTCTTGAACACTGTGGAGAATTACATAGAAAACTTTCTTTTTAATAGTTATTTTGAAAAAAGAATAAACTCATTATTTTACAGCAACATGGATGGAACTGGAGGCCATTATTTTAAGTGAAACAACTCAGAAAGTCAAATACCACATGTTCTCACTTAGAACTGAGAGCTAAATAATGTGTACATATGGACGCAGAGTATAGAATAATAGTCATTGGAGACTCAGAAGAGTGGGAGGCTGGAAATGGGGTTGAGGGATGAGCTATTACTTAATGGGTACAATGTAAACCTATTGGGTGTTGGTTACACTAAAAATCCAGACTTTGCCACTATGCAATATATCCATGTAACAAAACTACGCTTGTATACCTTAATTAATTTATTTTTGAGATAGGGTCTTGCTCTGTCACCCAGGCTGGGGTGCAGTGGTGCTATCTTGGCTCACTACAGCCTTGATCTCTCCAGCTCAAGTGATCCTCCCGCCTCTGCCCCGCAAGTTGCCTGCACTGCAGGAGCATATCACCATGCCCAGCTAATTTTGTATTTTTTGTAGAGAAAGGGTTTCACCATGTTTCCCAGGCTGGTTTCAAACTCTTGAGCTCAAGTGATCCACTTGCTTTGGCCTCCCAGAGTGTTGGGATTACAGGTGTGAGCCACTGCACCTGGTCTGTAGGCCTTAAATTCACACACACACACACACACACACACACACACACACACGAGTTATTTTTTAGCCTTTTTACGGCTACATATAATTATTTTTTTTGAAATGTACTTGTTTATTCATCCTATGGATGGTGGACACAGGGAAATATAGTTTTGTTTGCTTGTTTGTTTTTTGAGATGGAGCTTCACTCTTATTGCCCAGGCTGTAGTGCAGTGGCGTGATCTTGGCTCACCACAACCTCTGCCTCCTGGGTTCAAGCGATTCTCTTGCCTCAGCCTCCTGAGTAGCTGGGATTACAGGCATGCACCACCATACCTGGCTAATTTTGTATTTTTTAGTAGAGATGGTTTTTTTTCCATGTTGGTCAGGCTGGTCTCAAACTCCTGACCTCAGGTGATCTGCTCGCCTTGGCCTGGGAATATAGTTTTAAAATGTCTTTTTATGTAGAATTTCAAGTATATGTGAAAGTAAAGTAGTAAAATGAACTTCACACGTACCCATCACCCAGCTCCAACACTTATTTCATGTCAATGGTGTTTTATCTCTTACCTCCTGGAACTCCCCTACCTTCAGACTATTAAAATTGTTTTTTCATTTTTTATTTTGAGGGAAGGTCTCAGTCCATTGACCGGGCTGGAGTGCAGTGGTGCAGTCGTGGCTCACTGTAGCTTCCGACTCCCTGGCTCAAGTGATCCTCCCTCCTTAGCCTCCTGAATACCTGGGACTGTAGGTGCCGGCCGCCTCCAGACTATTTTGAAGTAAATCTCAGATACTAACTCACTCTAACCATAAATATTTTAGTCAAATAGTATTGTGTGACCATAAGAACATCACTTTTCTATAGTAAGAAATCTTGGGAATAAAAAGATCAGTTAAATTTCTTAGGCTTATACTCATGCAATAATGTTTCTTATAGGAGAGGAAGAATATTTCCCTTTAGTTTTCAAAAACCAGGCCAGGAACAGTGGCTCATGCCTGTAATTTCAGTGTTTTGGGAGACTAAGGTGGGAAGATCACTTGAAGCTAGCAGTTCAAGACCAACTTGGGCAACATAGTGAGACCCCATCTCTGCAGTGAGCTGGGGTATGGTGGTGTGTGCATCTTTAGTCCCAGTACTTGAGAGACTGACGTGGGAGTATCACTTGAGCCCAGGAATTCAAGGCTGCAGTGAGCTATGATCACACTACTGTACTTCAGCCTGGGTGACAGAGTGAGACGTTGTCTTTTAAAAAAGCAAAACCAAACATTTAATTTATCATGTTATAAAAGAAGTGTCTGAATGGATTAGTAGGTCAAAATTTGATACTGAAAATTTAGATTGAGTTGTATCAACATATCTGTTTTATTTGATAGAATGGGTTATATTTTATCAGCCTATCCTTGTTCATAACACAGTTAACTCTTCTCTTCATTCTTCCACTCTTCCCCCCTTCCTTTAAACATGTTGAGAAAGGTATAAACTGTCTTTTGTTTGTTTATTTTTCTTTTTTAAGCAAAAGCAGAAAGAAAGAAGTACTTGGATGAATGATAATCTGTTACTGCCAAAGTATTCTACCCAATTTAAGATTGATGCTAGCATTTCTTAGCTTGATTTAATTACTTGTCTGTCACCTGGTAGTTACGGATTCGAGACCTTGAAGGAGCTTTGCAAGTAGAAAAGGCCAGTCAAGCAGAGGCTGTTGCTGATTTGGAAATGATCAAGAATGAATTCAAAGAAGTTGAAAGTGCATATGAGCGAGAAAAGCATAATGCACAAGAGAGCTTGGCAAAACTAAATTTGTAAGTATTTTACTGTAAAATTCTCTAAATTAACATAAAGATTTTATAAAAGTTATATAAAATATGAATTATACTATGTATTTTAGATATAGTTTCCATTAATGTCAGTAGATTGAGGTGAAGGACTTCATAAAACAGAACTATATTTTCCTGTATAGATAAATATGGAAATGCTTTTTTGGATATTGAAGTATATTCTAAGTAGCCCAAGAAATTGAGTAATATACTAGAAAGTAAATATACTAATTTAGTTTGCATTATATGATTGATATAATGCTGTATCCTTAAGTATCAAGACCAGCTTGGGCAACATAGTGAGACTTTGTCTCTACAAAAAAATAAAAGGATTAGCCGGGTATAGTGGTGTGCATTCACAGTCCCAGCTACTCGAGAGGCTGAGGTGAGAGGATCACTTGAGCCTGGGAGTTCAAGGCTGAAGTGAGCTATGATCTAAGGCTATGATCTGGGGCTAAGACTTCTAAGCCACGTAAAATGGTCTGTATGGAGATAGATAATATTTGACATTTTCTCAAACTACAGAAATAATAGTAATAGCAGTAACACTACTACTAGTGGCTAACATGCGTTGTGGCTCACTGCATACCTAGCATTGCATAGTTTCATTGATCTAGCACCCTATGAGGAAGGTATTTTTAAAAATCCTATTTTTATAGATGTGGAAATTGAGGCCTAGCAAGAGTAAGGACATACAGTTCATAAATGGCAGAATTAAAATCTTTCTGACTCCTACTGATTTTAACCTTTTTTAGTTCAAAAGCCTTTCATCTTCAAAATTCTGTGAAATGCTTTAAGAAGTTTATAATGCTTTAATGTGTTTCCAAAAATAAATCAGTAGTAGACATTTTAAGCCATTTTCCCCCCAGAGGGTGAAATTCATACTGCCATTGATATGTGGCATGATAATATATAGGCATATTAAAATTATATTAGTTTCTATTTATGGCAAGTAGATAATGGTTTTCCATTTACAGACCGATATAAAGATTCCTTTTAAAATGCTTTATTGGCCAGACATGGTGGCTCACACCTGTAATCCCAGCACTTTGGTATGCCGAGTTCAGGAGTTCAAGACCAGCCTGTCCAACATGGTGAAACCCTGTCTCTACTAAAAATACAAAAATTAGCTGGGCGTGGTGGTGCGTGCCTGTAATCCCAGCTACTTGGGAGGCTGAGGTAGGAGAATCATTTGAACCCAGGAGGCGGAGGTTGCAGTAAGCCGAGATTATACCATTGCACTCCAGCCTGGGCAACAGAGTGAGACCTCATCTTAAAAAAATGCTTTATTTATTATAAGAAGTGAGTTAATTTAAGTGAAAGTATTACTTAAATAGTGGTAATTTTTGTGAGGATTACAAAAATCATGAAGATTGGACTTGAAAGACTGAAGGACTTTAGAACTCTTTTAAAATGGTGTTTTTTTAAATTAGTAATGCTTATAATATTTTAAAACAATAATTCTTAAATGAATTTTCTTGCTTCCTCTAGTATGACTTAAATGACATTCTGTGAATGTTATTTTAAGAATTTATTTCTCCTTTATTTTCTTTGAACCATTGCTTGAATGTGCACATTTAATATATTTGAATATATTCAAATATTATTCAAATACATATTCCAATATTATTCTGCATATAAATATATTTGAAAGGCTTTTATGTAGAATATAGTGCAGGTTTCTTTACTTTTGCTTTAAGGTAATGATTAGGACCTACAAGTAAAACTTTAAGAAGTCAGAATAAGCTCCCAGTAATTAAAGCTCTCTAGCAGTGAAATACTAGACATCTTTCAGGGAACTAGTGAGCTCCCTACCTTGGGAAATTCAAAACACAGGGTGGATGATTCTCTGTCATAGATGTTGAAGAAGAAAATTCATAAAGATTGGACTGGGGGAATTTTAACCTAGTTGCTAACAATTAAGCTCTGAGTCTAACCTGTATACTTTTCTAATAAGCAATTTTTTCCCTAAGTTTTATTTTGCAGTTATTTGTATTTTGGTACTTGAAAAATTTTACTCAAGTTTAGTATTCCAGTAAACACCAGCTAACAATTCTGAATATTAGTTACATATTCCAACTAGGCACTAGCTAACTAACACTCCTAATGCTTTAATATAATGTTCCTTATCTGTTTTTCATCTGTATATAACTATCATGATAAATAAGTTAAATAATAAATAAATAATAGTAAGTAATAATTAAAGCCCAATAATCAATGAAAATTTCTGTGACTTTCCTTTTCCCATCCTGTCGTCCTTTTCCATGTATGTGAAATGAAAGCCGCTTTCATCCCTATTATCTGTAGTATAAGAAGGAATGATCTGACTTGAAGGATCTACCTGTACTTTCATTTTCCATTTTTTACCTATACTTCTGACTATACTTCAGAATCATTTTCAAAAAATATTTTTTAAAGACGATTCTGAATTTCTTACATATTTTTAAAAGAAGATTCTGAATTTCTGAAAAATATTCTGTTGTTTCAAAGTAGTTCTAAGTTTTGGTTAATGTATTCCGAATAGAGAATTGATAGATTTTGGGTCTTTAATGCAAATCATACCTTAAACTTACAACTTTGAGAATAGGGAGTTTTGGAGTAGGATATTGTTTTACCTGTTGTGAACTGATATAGCAATTCATCATGCCTGAACCTGCCATTAGTTAAGGTTTTTAAGCTTCTGTTTCTTGCTAGGTAGACCTAGGCAGGATCTCACTAAAAGGCAGGGAAAAAAAGACTGTGTGTATATTGTAGAGCTATAGTTTTGGTCCATAGTTTCATAACAATAGACATACCTGCATGAAATTATTTTAGATGGAATGCATATATTCCATAATTCTATAATCAAAATTTCACTATAATTCTTTCCATCTAAAATTTATATTTATGAAATGAAAACTTTTCAATAATCTTTTGTTTTTTTAATTTTAAATTTTAAATTATGGGTAAATAATAGTTGTACATATTTGTGGGGTACATGTGATATATTTATACAAGCATACAATGTGTGATGATCAAATCAGGGTAATTGGGCTATCTATCAACTCAGGCATTTATCATTTATTTGTGTTAGGAACATTTCAATTCCATTTTTTTAGTTCTTTTGAAATACATAATAAATTATTGTTAACTATAGTTGCTCTGTTGTGCCACCAAACACTAGATCCTGTTTATTCCATCTAACTGTATTTCTGTACCCATTAAGCATCAGAATTTTCAAATATAGTCAAGTCTTCATTAGCTGTGATAACTGATTGCTGGGCAATAGTAGGGAGAAAGAGATCATAGTAATCCTCAGGTATAATTGAAACTTAAATTTGAAACAACATTAGTCTAATATATCATACTGAATGGACTGCATCTAAATTTATTTCTTACACTCAATATTTAGGAATTAATTTTTCTAAATATATCACTCAAAAGGATAAACATAACAACAGTATTGTAACTTAGTAGCACTATTTTTGTTTACATTATGTGTAAAACATAGTCCAAAGATGGCTATTTGTTAAAATAGCCTGTTGTCAAATTCTTAGCTGAAGTCTTAAAAAAAAAAAAAAAAAAAAAAAAGAATGAGACTCCAATAGGAAAGAAGGCATCCTAGCTACAGACTTTCTTCTCCCTTCCCTTTCTTGGCTAAATTTTCCACCTTTTAAGTCCTGGCCTTTTCCCATCAGAATTTAGAGACAGGGCCTCTCCTTAACCTGCCCTATTCTCGCCCCACTTACTCCCTCTTGGTTGGAGGTGTTGGCAGCATGGTAGGAGCCAGCTTTTTTGGGTTGTCTGTCAGAATGCTTAACAGCAAGGTGTGTTTCCCCATTTCAGTGGACACAGTTTGTCCCTTATTTATAAAACAGTACCAAAAAAAGCTGCGTATATATTGTGTATGTAACAAGAGGTGGACTTAATTTTGTATTTTCTGAGTAATAGTAATTTTTAACTAAAATCTTGATTTTACCAAATTAATACATGTACACAGTCTAAATGAATAAAATGGTATTGTTAGGCTCATGAAAAACAGCAGTTGCATGCCCCATTGCTCTATCAGTTTCTATCAGTTTCTATTCCTTTGATGCACCTACTTTCAAATCTTATTGCTGTTTCTTCTGATATTTGATTTCATATTTCTCAATAACAGGCATAATATGCTATTTTTTCAGTTTCTGCCTTTAGATATCAATTAGCTTCTACTTATTATCTCTATTATATGCTTCTTCCACACAACAGACACTCCTTCCCTCTTCCCATCCTTTCTATAGCGTTATATTTTTGAGTTTAGCATATTTTATTTTTTCTACAGTTTAATTTTTGTTAATCTATCTTTTTTTTTTTTTTTTTTTTGGGGACAGAGTTTCGCTCTTGTTACCCAGGCTGGAGTGCAATGGCGCGATCTCGGCTCACCACAACCTCCGCCGCCCGGGTTCAGGCAATTCTCCTGCCTCAGCCTCCTGAGTAGCTGGGATTACAGGCACGCACCACCATGCCCAGCTAATGTTTTGTATTTTTAGTAGAGACGGGGCTTCACCATGTTGACCAGGATGGTCTCGATCTCTTGACCTCGTGATCCACCTGCCTCGGCCTCCCAAAGTGCTGGGATTACAGGCTTGAGCCACCGCGCCCGGCTAATCCATCTTTTTTTAATAGTACATTTTTGTTCTTTGCTATTTATTATCTGTCTTATGTAATAAGAAACTTTGTTTTGTTTATTGCTGTCTGTCAATGTGTAGAATGATACATAAGAGCTGCTAAGTAAAGATTTATGGAATTGGGCTGGATGCGGTGGCTCATACCTGTGATCCTAGCACTTTGGGAGGCTGTGGTGGGAGGATTGCTTGAGGCTGAGGTTGGGGAGGATTGCTTGTGGTGGCACGTGCTTATAGTCCCAGCTGCTTGGGAGGCTAAGGTATAAGAATTGCTTGTGCCCTGCAGTGAGCAATGATCATGCCACTATACTCCAGCCCGGGTGACCAAGTGAGACGCTGTCTAAAAACAAAAACCACCTTTTTTTAGTATATGTGCTGCCGAAGCAAGCACATATACTAAAAAAAGGTGGTTTTTGTTCTTCACATGTACCCCAAAACCTAAAATACAATTAAAAAAAAAGCAACCAAAAACCAAAACAAAAAGAAAATGTTTGCAGACTCAACAATGAAAGAATAGTTAATATTTGCCTCATTTTAAATTGGATTAGTTTATGTGATTAACCAATCACTTATTAAACTATTTGTAAATGCTAACAGAACCGAAAGTCTCTCATGTTCCTACACCTCAGAGATGGAGATGTTCCTCCTAGACTCGTTTCTCTACTTTTTCCAGTCCGGCCAAGTTGTTTTTTAGGTTCCCTGTACACAGTCATCCAAGGACGTCCCTTTAACATCATCCTTGGATTCCCTGTATTTCTTTTCTATTTTGGATTTCCTTTTTGATGATCTTGGGCCTTCTTCCTTGATTTGCTTCATTGTAAAGTAGCTCTTTGAGAAGCTATGTATCAGAGGAACATTTAAAACTTGCGTTCTGAAAATTTTTGATCTTTATCCTTTTTTATAGTTCAACTGACTATTCATTCAGTTTTAGTGTTTGAGAAGTCTGAAGTCATTTGAATCCTGATCTTTTGTATGTAGTCCATGTTTTCCTCTGGAAACTTAACACACAGTGGCCATCAAATCTGGAATCTTGACATGACTATATATGAAATGGCTTACTGATGTTACATTATTATACATGGTAACATAATAATACGTGTGTTTTGATACTTAATGGGCACTCTGCAGAAACATTTTTGGTCCCAGTGTTTTGAAATTTCATGATGATGGGCCTAGCATGGATGTTTTTCTTTCGTTTTGGTAGGTATTTATTGAGCTCTTTTGATTTTAGAGACTAGAGTATTCAGTTCCAGGAAATTCTCATTGCTTTCTTTATTCTTTGCACCTTCTTCATCTTCTTTCTCTGGACTCCTTTATTTATATCTTGGGACTCCTGGATTGATTTTCTTATCTTTTCTCCACTTAGACTCATTTTTATTGTTTAGTTCTACTTTGAGAGATTTACATAACTGTAGCATCCAATCCTTTTATACATGTTTATTTTAAATTCAAGCTACTCTGCCTTGGAATATTCTCAATCCAAAGGAGAATATACAAAAGGGTTAACACTAGAATTGCCTATGTTCCACCCCAGAGAAAATAATGTTGATTGCTCAGAGTAAGGTCATATGCTACTCAAAAATTAGCTCTTTATTTGATTATACTAGTAACTTAGACTTCGTTATACTTAGCCACCTTGTCTCCTGCATTATAATTTAATCAGAGGAAACAGTTCTACTACATTTTTAGGAAGATCTCAGATTTAAAATGACAACATTTTAATTTGAATTAAAATTATCCCTTTGGTGGATTATCTACCAAAAAAAAAATACTTCCCAAGCCATCTTTCATTGTATGTTCATACAGAATGTAAATAGTTTAATACTAACCTGAGCTCTATATATACATATATGTATATATTCTCTCTCATATTTGTGTGTGTGTGTGTGTGTGTGTGTACACACACACACACACACAGTGGCCTATATATTATGTATATATGTGTGTGTATGTGCATGTATATATATATATATATATGCATATACATATGCACACATAGCAATGACTGTATGTAAATACATGAGTGTGTGTCATTCATATATATATATATATATATATATATATATATATATATGAGATGGGGGTCTCACGTTGTCACCTAGACTGGAGTACAGTGGCACAATCATAGGTCACTGCAACCTTGCACTCCTAGGCTCAAACAATCATCCTGTCCCAGCCTCCTGAGTATCTGGGACTATAGACACATACCACTGTGCCAGGCTAATATTTAAATCATTTTGTAGAGATGGAGTCTTGCTTTGTTGCCCAGCCTGGTCTTGAACTTCTGGCTTAAAATGATCTTCCTGCTACGGCCTGCCAAAGTGCTGGGATTACAGGTGTAAGCTGCAGCACCCGGCCTATCTGAGCAAAATTTAAATAGGAAGGCGAATTCTTTGAAAAGAAATTCATATGTCTTCAAGGTGAATGTGAATTATTTTTGATTATTCTTCCTTTTGGATTTTTCCATGCAGCCACAGTGGTTCTACTTACATGGACATTCAGATCTGAGACATTTGTTCCATTTCTAATGTTGTATTTTAATTTTAAAACTGTTTGGTAGTACTGTTTTCTCAGTCTTGAGACAGACTCTGAGCTAATCTATGCTAGGTGGGTTTTGCTTATCAAAAATGATGGTGAAGCCAAATTAACACTAACCAAAACTATTTTGCCTGTAGTCTTGGGCATACTATAAATACTTACTATCAAAGGGAAATAATATTGCTTTGAAGTTTTTCATTTAAGAATATGTAGAACTTTTTGTTTGAAAAAGGAAAGGTTGCCTTAGAAAGTCTTTTAGCATGAACATACGATATGTAGTATATCGGCCATTTATCTTAAAGGTGTATAATATCAGTTGATATAAGCATGTTTGAAAAACCTGCCCTGACACTTTAACTTTTCAGATTAGAAAGAGAGTATTTCTCCAAAAACAAGAAACTAAATGAAGAGATCGAGGAACAGAAGAAAGTCATTATAGACCTTTCAAAGAGACTCCAGTACAGTGAAAAAAGTTGCAGTGAATTACAGGAAGAACTAGTAATGGTAAGGATAAAAAAGAAAACTCTATGGTAATCACTTTTCTGGGTGGTATTTGATGTATAGCAGGGTTTTTCCTCACTACATTCCATGAGTTAATAGTATGAAAGTAGTTTTAACGACATTGATAACAAAATTTTTCAAAACTGGAAATGCTGATTACATCAAAGATATATATAATGAAACCTCTCTGATTTGGAATAATTGGGGAAACTAACTGAATTAGTAAAATCTCTTGACTTATAGAATTTAAAAAATGTATTCAAGGGTTTTTCTTATCTTGCATAAAACAGTATTACTTAGATTAAGGGTGATTAGAGTTTGTAATTAATACAACTGATGATTTCATAGACTTCCTTTTGTAATTGTTTTGTACCTGGTCACTCTCTCTCCATTCCCCAGTAATCTAGCTTTTACACTATAACTAAATTTATCTTTGTAAAGTATTGATCTGTTTTTGTCAATCTCTCTTTATTCAAAACTCAGCATCTCAATGTCTGTCTCCCTGTTGTTTTCAGAATAATGGCCAGCTTCTTGTGTAATCTCAGGACCTTTTCTTTTTGTCTTTGTGTTAACTTTTCTAGCCTCTTCTTTTGCGTTTTCATTCTATCTATCCTGCTTCAGCCACATTAGAATGTTCCTTGCCTTCTAAACACACCTTTTCTTTTCTTTGTTGTTTTAAAGATGGGATTTCACTCTTGCCCAGGGTAGAGTGCAGTGGTGCAACCCTTGCTTACTGTAATCTCCAACTCCTGGGCTCAAGAGACCCTTTTGTCTCAGTCTTCTGAGTAGCTGGGACTGCAGATGTGTGCCACCACGCTTCTTACAGAGAAGAGGTCTCGCTATGTTGGCCAGGCTGGCATCAAACAAGTGGCCTCAAGTGGTCTTCCTGTCTTGGCCTCCCAAAGTGCCAGGATTACAGGCATGAACCACTGCACCTGGCCTAAATACATCTCTTCATATATTCTTATTTTTATTCAGATTATTCATTTCTTTGACCTGTGATGACTAAAATGCTCCTTTTCTTTTTCATAACCAGATTTCTATACATCCTGTGATGCCCAGCTCTGATATTTTGCAATCTGTGAAGCTTTCTGTGATTCTGTCTTCTGCACTCTCATCCACCTTAAGTTAAAATTCTGTCCCTCCTCAACAGTATTTCTTTAGTATTTAGTTCAGCATCTTTATCATAATACTCACGGAAATTTGATGTGTATTATGTCTCCCAAGAGAATGTGAATGCATTGAGGTTAGCTTACTTCATTTTATATACCTAGATTCCACTATAGTACTTGGCTCAATAAACAATTGTCTAATGGATTTATTGGGTTGATGGAGAATCTTCCTCTCTACAGTTTGCTGGGGACCCCCCCAGGGAGGGTGTAAAGTTTATGGTAATACCCTATTACTTCTTTGTCTTGTTCTACACATACATACTTTCCTCAGAGGCTTGACTACTTCACTTTCAGTTATATCCCAAAAGTTTTAGTGATTTTAGTTATTGAGGACAATGTGTATTATTTACCTTCTTGAAAAAGGTGGTCCTGGGTTATACTAGGAATTGGTCACCAAATCAATGCTGCCCAGATAGAAAGCTAGTAATGGGATACAGTTAAAACTCTTCAGTGTTTTTTCAAATGATCCAATATTATATGCATTTTCCATTTACCTCAAGATATTTGCTGTGTTCTGATTCAGGAATTGGTATCATTGCTTGTTCTAGAAATCAGTTTGCAGTTTGGTATTTTGAATGTGGTGTTTTAGAAAGTTAAGAGCCCTCTGTGTAGTCTACTGTAGCATCTGTTCACTGTAAGGTGTTATCCTAAATTTCACGGGCTCTTTTAGCTCTTACCTCCTAGTTCAGGAAGATGAATCAGTAGTGGAGAAAAATATGTCAGGGTCATTAAGCTGAGTACTGCATTCACTCTGCTTGCTTATTAGTCATTTCACTCAATAGTTTGGAAAATAAGTCAGAGTTATAACTAAGAATGGAAGAGTTAAGACATAATCACCAATATAGGTTGCATGAATTTTCTTAATTCTGGGTTTCCAGCACTTTAGTGACTAGATACAAAATAAAAGGAGACTGGCTTAACTCACCACAGAACGTATGGGTATTTAGTGATTAAGAAATTTTACTTCGTACCAACAGCTTTTTTCCCTAAAACTTTCACAGAGTGATAGTTGGTCTAAAATAAGGCAAGTGGCAGCTCACCAGCAGCCTTTATTTGCTTGTTTGGACCTTCTGCACTCATTTTATTAATCCACTGAACACTATTGTTTTGATAATGATGCTGAAAATTGTAGGCTAATTGTTTCTTCAAAGCTTGATGGATGGCTAAAAGCAGTTGCAGATCTGTGTATAATGTAATAGTTCCTTGCTGAATGGGATGTTTGAAAAATTTACTCAGGTTGCCAGACTAAGTGATATACAGTTTACCATACCTGGTGGCTCAGGCTATTAATATGTTCCTCTTAATTTTTTAATTTCTCTTAAACTCAGCTTTGCATCTTATTTCTTCCTTCTTTGTCTTCTCTATTTTCTTTCCTATTAGCTTTTAAAAAACTTTTTCTGTTTTATGCCTATTAGAGCTGTTGTTCTTTATTTCTTTACCTGACCATAATATGAAATTTAAGAGCTATTTAATGAAAATGTCTTTAAATAGTAAGTACAATGTTTTTCTTTTTATAAACTACTATTCTATCACTTTTCCTAAATATAGTTTTTCTTGTGCATATTCCTTTCTTGACTTTTCTCAGTTGATTAGTGGCCTTTGGGGGAAAGAAGGTTTGAAAAATTTCTCTTGAAAGATATTTCTTTCAAATTAAAATTTTAAGCCATAAGAAATGAAGATTTTCTAGTTCTGCATTCACAGTCTGGCTATTATTTATGCTTTGAATTCTTAATTGTTGTTGACTGAGGAGAGAATGACTTATGAGGAAGATTTCCCTTTTGCTTTTGGAAATGAAATTGTTTTAATGACATCCCATGATTTTATGTACCCTAGTGTGTCTTTTCCACAGTTATATTTCTTTTGAGCATAATAGTATCAGTGTTTTATAGACTATATATAGGAAGCATAAATTACCTACAGCTAATTTTTCTTTCCCTTTGAGGTACCAGCTTGTTTTCTAGTTTAGGTTATGTTCATGGTCATTATTTGAGTCTTGGTCTTTATTTTCTCTGTTACATTGGAAAAGAACGTTAAAGTCACTATCCTCTGTAGGTTTACTAGTAAGGTGAAGGTGTTATTAATAAGATACAAAGACTTGAGGAAATTTTGAGACTTAGAGATAACTTTGTGTTAGTACAGCATAGCCTTATGCTGTATCATGGGCTGGTTGCAGCAGCAGAGCTGTTAGAGGCTTTAGAGCCCAGGATAAGAATGTGCTAATAAACCAGTTGGAAAGTAATAGCGCCCCTGTTTTGAGAGAGATAATATATAAATATAGAACATAATTTTGGAAAAATCTAAAACTGGTATGCTGTCTTTTGTGAATATTTAATAAATATAAACCCAGCCAACTTTAATTGCACTTTTATTTATGTATTTTTAATTGACACAAAATAATTGTGTTAAAACATATTTATAGGGTAATTGTGATGTTTTGATATATACAACATAAAGCGATCAGATCTTTCATTTCTTTGTATTCTAATTATACTTTTATATTAATGAAATTACTTCTATTCAATGTATAGATTTAAAAGATATAATTAATAAATTAATGGTATATAATGACTTTTGAATGTCATAGAATTAGTAAAATTTCAACAGGACATTTAAGGACTTAACAAATTTATTTTCATGTTTGAAATAAATGTGAACACAAGATGTGAACACAGAATATGAAATTTGACAGAATTTGACTATAAATAGTTTTGATTAGAAATTGAGCTTTCAGTTTCAAAACCTATGAATTTAATAATGACTTAATCAACTACTAAATAAAACTGAATTTCTAGTTTAAGCTGCTAAGTGATCAAGCTTATTAAAGTCCATCTGAGGCTCAACAGATCCAGTTGGGTCTTTTAGACATTACTGTGAGTTTTTATATATCTGCCTGTCTTGAAGCAGGGGAGCTGTCATTTTCAAATTCATATTATTAGAACTTGCTTTGTGCTTTCTTCAATGAAATTTTCTTAAGTCCATTATTTCTTGAGATTTGTTTTCTGCCACTCAGTAATATTTAGTTACAGCTCTAGGAGAGACTTTATATTGAAAAGGGAATTCTAGTTCTCGTGAGGTTTTGCTCCAAGAATGTTTTATTCTCTAAAGAACTTGTGATTGAAAATGGTCAAGTGTATATTTTTTCTCAATACTTTAGGGGGCTTAACTGATTATATAATAATAATGATTGCCAGCATCAAATATGATTTAGCAAAGTGCTTTGATGGTTATGCTTTGTGGTGAAGGTAATATTTCTTGATAATATTTTTACTTCCAATGAACTATTAGGTTTGCTTTAGAAGAACATGTTTCTGATTTTGTAGGAGGTTTTCAAAACTAATGGGCTAGTAAATATTCTATTCTGAATTTTTACTTAAAAAAAAGATTGACTCCTGTTTTTCACCAAGAATAAGAGTAGTATTTATACATGGGTATTGTTTTTGCTAATATAAATATCACTTTCTGTTTCTCTTAGTGGCCCTTAAATTTTAATCCTAGTAAATAATTCATTGAGTACGTGTCTTTGTGTATTTAAATATTCCTTTTGGGAATTTATGGTATAGGCATAAAGCTTTTGCATTAAGTTTTTTGAAATTTATTTCTATATAAGTTAGTAAATTTTGGTAATCCAAATCTCATTTTTAACCTGGGGAAAAAAATGGTGTTGTATATATGTGTGTGAGAGAGAGAGCACGAGATCAAGAGAGAAATTTAGATGTTTAGGCCCATATTCAGATTGAATGGTAGCATCTGCTGAAAAATAAACTGATTGTTAAAGCTAAGTAAAGAAGGGTAACATTTCATTATGTGAGATAAGCAAGTGAGATCATGGAA